ACATTTAAGACAATTTGTCCCAAGGGCTTTTAAGAACTATCCATCAATAGAGTCTCCCACTGGTCCGTAGATGTAATCAAAAGAGGAAAGGTAGTGGTCCAAAACTGTTAAAAGCGGTTGAACACAAACATGCAGTGTGTCCTTAAAATAGTAGGGTCATACCTCTTTAATAATAACGTTAATGATTTTAAGTAAAATAGCAGAAAAATTACCATGACCCAAAGTCAAATTAGTTCCACAAAATCCAGAAATTGATAAAAGCATGTGAACGAATATTATTAACCTTGGATTATAAAACCTTCAAAATATCAGTACTCTACCAATTAGCCATTACTCTCAGTATCTTGACACCTACTAGAATCACAACCTTTGAAGCACTTATGATAAAAAAACGAAAAGATTACAGTAAGTAAGCTAGAAAATATTACTTCATGAAATATACTAAAAGATAAAATGTGACACAAAACATTATGCTTTTGTATCAAACAAATCAGTATAGATAACAATAATATAGATAATGAAAAAATTTTTAAAAATTAAGTTTATCTCAATTTCTTTTTTTTAATAAGTTAAAAATTTGCCATGTTTTGAATTAATTCAGCTTTATAGATTTAATCATGCAGCATTTCTTATTAACACATTTGATTAGATAATTCCAAACGTTCCGAATAGGAAACTTCCAAATAACGAGCTTTTTTGCTAGCTCCCACATGGGGTTCGGTTTTCCGAAGTTACACCTTATAACAATGTCTTGATAGTTTAAAAACAATTCGTAAACTGAAATATATTGACATTTCAGTGATGGAAAAATGAAATTTTGTAAGAACTTATGAAACAAACACTTTACAAAACCAATTATAACACTTTCAAGATACAAACATTTTTATAAAATTGGAAAAAAATGATTTCACGATTGAAACATGACAAATGACTGATGCTAAACATCCCAGGAGACCTAAACAATGCGAGAGAATGTATTGATATTCTTGAACAGAATAACTGAATTATCTAATTATTAAATAACTCAATTATAATTGCGATTAATCAAAAGAAATTAAACATTTAGGGTCCTAACTACCACAGTACCAACTGTATACTTAAAGAACACTAATCTATGTTAATACATATTTAAAATAGTACAAGAAGACCTAATAACATTACTGCATGAATAATAACTTTGTATCAGAAAACATTAGACCAAAACAAATTTAGATTTTATGATATGTTACAACGAATAACGCGCCTAAACATTCTAGTTTCGTCAACATATTCTCTATTTTCACATGGCCATAAATCGCTTCATGAACTCGATTATGCCCGCTGCCAGTTATCATGAATACTTCTTTAATAACAGATGGAAAAAATATAGAAACGGAACACAGCAGCTTTTGATGACATTTTGTAAAGGCTGATAGATTGGTTTAACGTCTTAGAACTGTCCAAAACTGCCAACAAATATAGTAAATTGTTCCAATTTACACGAAAAAACATAAATGATATTAATAGAACATGTTTAACGGAGGACATGGTCCTTCGTCTCGGAAGATTCCGGGAGGAAGAAAGTTGCTGGCTGGTGTCGTGTGAATTTCCAAATTAAAAAACGAGGACATTTGTGCTCTGAAAAGACGCCTTGTCCGTTGCCGTCCCAAAGGCAAAAATTACGCGTGTTTAAGAGAAATTGTCCCCAATATAAAGCCAGTATCAATGGCGATAATTCAACAAAGGGGAGTAACTATGTATAATCATTACACTATACATTATCAAGGAAGGTTATTTAGCGTTTTGTTTCAGTTCGAAAATTCAGCTGTTTAATCAGTTAAGTAATGAATTTACGGTGCTCTGTTTGAGTAAAACATTCATCTCGTTTACTTGAGCATTTTGAGCTATTGAATTCATGACTGTGTAATATACCAGTTGATTGTAAAACTTTCAGGACCGAACTCCTCCCATCCCCTCTTTGACCCTTACACACGATCTTTCAACAACACGCACAATATTTATGACATTTGAACTTGAATTATTGTTTCTGTTAAAAAGATAATAATGTTTCTTGTAGACGGCTTTGAAATTAAGATTTATAATCTCATCCGAAAGACTGATTCGTAAATTTAGTTGACCACCCCGGGTATCGAGATCATGTTCTTTTAAGGGACAAGAAAATACATTTGTCTCATATCATCTTCTATAAATTATTTGCCGGTAGAATTTTTTTAAGAATCGAAATTCGCCGTTTTATCTCATGACAAGTGTAATTTTCAAAAGGTTTCCTACTCCCTTTTTATGAAATCTTAAACTTAAAACCTGCAGTGGAACTAATAATTCTGATATTTCAAATTGAAGAAATTGCTTTAGTTGAATCTGAAGGCGTACATTGAAACATACGGAATCCCGGTCACGATTGTACAATGGTGAAAGCGTGATGGCACGATTTTGAAAACACAATGCTACGATTGGGGAAAATACGATGGTACGATGATGAAACTGCGATGGAATGATGATGAAACCGCGATATTATTGTCATCATCGTGATTTCACCATCGTGCCATGTTGTTTCATCATTGCGTCGTCGTGTTTTCAGCATCGGTCCATCGTACTTTCACCATTGAAATATCGTGCATAGCGAACAAATTTTACTTATGTCCAAACGGAACACCGTAATCGGAGGAAATCTAACGATCATCGGATGTTTCTAAATTCAAAACTTCACCATTTTTATGTTAAAATTCTGCTGAAGCCGGTGCTAGCAGGCTCGGACGGAAGTTTGCACTTGATAGTACCGTCAATGAACAGGCTCCATCAAACCGAGCCTGTGACATTTTCAATCTTGCCGTTTTGCATTGCTATTTTCTCTCTTTTATCGTTTCGCGTCTCGCCAGAATCTCGCGTCTGGTTCGCATCTCGTACGTCGACACGAGACAAGAAAATTCTTCGAGGCCATAAACCGCTAAATAGTATTCTATAAAACTGACATTTTTCAGAGCTACAAAACACAGCTAGACACATTTAAGTCTCATTTTAAAGAGTTATGACAAAACTAATATAAAATGATGAGAAAAGTAGGGGTCGTGCATCTTTTAAGAAAACTTTCTAGCGTCACATTTGTTACTCTAAAATATGGTATGAAGTGGAAGAACCACCAATACAAAAATTGAAATTCACTTTATCAAACACAACATTTGCTCGCATTCCTTTTCTACCAAAATGTCAAAAACATACTTATGGTGAAATTAAAACAGAAAACAGCTTAAATTTAGACGAACGTCTATGGCCATGTAGAGTAAAAGATAACGTTCAATAACCTGTCCGCTATTAAGCGAAAAGGCCAGATGGCGAGCTTGTTATTTTACTATAATTCAGCAAGTCTTATCCCTTTCGCTGCCAGAGGGTTATTGTTTTATTGATCACCTATTTGCCAGGGAGTTTTCTAAGAAATTACTATAATATCAATTAATATAATTATTATTATTTGTTATTTGTATTATAATAATTATATATGTTTCCAAATCTGTTAGTATAATAATAATTAGTGTCGATGGTATATATTTTTTTATATTTATTATTATTTTCATTATTATTATTATTAATTCATTATTATTATAGAAATACACCGAAAATAACAGGGACGGCATAAGCCGTCCCTATGGCAGTGAAAGGGATAAATAAAGGGACCCCACTGAGATTTTTTGACATGACGGGACTGGAAAAAAATCTTTTGAGATTATTACTCCATCTCAAGTAGGTCTATACCAACAATTTATGTGCAAACTTTCAGATCATGAGCTCGCTTCGTTTTTCCAGAAAAATTGTTTTAATTTTCAAAAATGACCTTAAATTGAAAAGCGTTGCACTTGAATCGGACTGAGAATAACACAAACATATGATTTTCAGTGTATTTCTGGGTATATTTCTTGATTATCTTTTGCATATATTTCTGTTTTAGGTGCCCCAATTGAAAAATTAAAATTTTATGTTTTAAGGCTGATGAACCTCAGTGGAGTTCCTTTAAATCAATTAAATCACATTTCAAATGTCTACTGTAATTTATCTGTCAATATACGTATACATACTTCTGTCTGTCAATATACATGTACCTGTATATAATTGTGTCTGTCTTCTTTATTAAATAAGATTCACTGAATGATCTTTATAATTACTTGTAATATGTTTATTTGTTTTTTAAATTTGTATTTTGACGTCTTGTTTGAGATATGCAGGCTTCATAAGCTCAGATCCCCTTTCAAAATTCCATTTTTTTTGTTCCGCCTATTGTTTCTTGTTTAGGGGCACAAGTATTCTTTTACTTGCTTTTCATTGAATGGCACTACTGTGTCACATTGAAGGTTCCATGATAACCGCCGTATGAACACATCTGCAGACGTTTCTTAAATCAAATTTCACCATTTTGTAATTAATTGTTGAATTCTGCTTAAGTCGGTGCTAGGGAGCGTGGAGGTTACTTGCCCGTTTCAGTACCGTTCATGTTCAGGCTCAATCAACTGAGTCTTTTTCAGTTTTGTCATGTTGGGTTTTCTTTAGGGATTCTGCATTTTATGTTTATTGAAGGCCTTGTTGAAAATAAGATTTAGCATTATATACGTTATGTTTCATGCTTTGATGTATTGTCTTAATAAGCTACCTTCGTTATGATCAAAGAATATAAAGTTATGTGTCGTAAAGGTAGCAAAATGTAAACAAAGTGGTAATTTGACTTCCATACAAAATAAAATGCTATTTCACTATAATATTACCATAAAGAAGCAAAAGTCCATGTATATAGCAAATGAATATGTTTTTGGCGTGACATGCGTTCTGTAAAGACGTACGCACCTTTGGCGTGCGTCTTTTCGGCTGACACGTCATTGGTTTTATATACATGTATAAGACAAGATCTGTGTGAAATAAGTGCAACTCTAGCAGACGACATATTAATTCAGATTTAGACACTTAAGATAACATTTTGCCCTCTCGACGTAAACTAGGTTTAATTTTCAACTTCTCTACGCCGTGGTCTACGAGTGTGCGCGGTCTACTTTTTCTGTGACAGACAGTTAGAAGCAGCGCGGACTACTTTTTCTGTGACAGACAGTTAGAAGCAGACGGTAGTCAACAGCAGACGACAGGTTCTAGCCAAACAGGAAAATGATCAGGATTTTGGTTTTTCTCGTCGCGAGCAATGCTTTTGTTGCATCGAAAGGTATGATTCTTTTTTCTTTTCTTTTTAACTTGATGGTCCTTCTTGCACTATTTTCCTAGCATTCTTACTCTTAAATAATAATGATAATAATAATAATAATAATAATAATAATAATAATAATAAGAAGAAGAAGAAGAAGAAGAAGAAGAAGAATAAAAAAGAAGAAGAAGAATAGAAAATTAAAGGAATTACAATATTTGCCAAACCTTGTCTCGAATTACGGATCTATTTTACTACTATGTTTGAGACAAATCATAAGGTCAGTTTGAATCGTATCGTAGAAAAAAAAGTTTGTAGAAGTAAAGTTTAATGGTAGTGAAGTCAAAATTTTAATCACAAACATTCGGTAGGTCCTAACAATCGCAACTTCTCGGCCCTTTCCGTCCAACTTCGGATAAGAACCTTGAACACTCTGGTATTAATAAGAATTGATACGGTATTGCGACCACACTTACACTTAATCATTTAAAACCAGTTTCGTCTTGAAAAAAAAAGATATATATATGAATGTCATTTTGCATTCTTCATATTCATGTTCTGAAAAAAATACAAAACCTATTTACCTGTTGAGATAGTTCGGACTTGGTTATAATTGTATGTAAATGGGCAATCTTAAACTGGTTCTTATATTTGACATACATATGTTTCATTGTTATATTACCGAAGTACACTTAATTTTCTGCTGGAGGTCAATGAAAACAGTCGTAACATATTATACAGATTAAATCCTTTTTTCGAAGTCAAAAATAACGTGATGGAACTACTTTATTTCTGTATTATATCCGAGATGTTCATTGATGGTCGACCTGGTGTTCCCAATGAGTTTTGGTTTTGTTTATCCGGGAAGGTTAAGTCTCACCATACACCGTTTTTATGATATCGCAGGCTACGTCCTCGGCACACTCAAAAATATTGTCCGTTTTAGTTCGTAGAAAGTAGTCACTTTTTAGTCATATTCTGGATTCCAAAATCCTTGTTGAGAATAATACTGTCTTCAACTATTATCATCAATATTACCCAAGTCAAATGATGCAATGCAATCTTTGTTCAGAAATTCCTGAGAAGGAAAAGTAAAATAATAAAAATCTAGCAAATTTATAGAATTTGTGATCCGGTCATTGTAAACTTGAAACCGTACAATATCCCAAAATCCTACAGTATGGACAGTATTCTTAATATCTACTAACACCCTCCCCAACTTTTTATATTTTTCAAAAATCAACAGCAGACAAATTTAGTAATTTTGTAACTGAGTTTGAGGTAATGAATATGACCAATCGCATATTCTCGGTCCTTTCCGTCAAACTTCGGATACGAATATATCCAATAGAAAATTGTTGGCAATTTCCGTCAGTCTTCGGATAAGGTTATCATAATTAATATGTTCCGATTGGAATAAAATCTACTTCATTGATAATAGCAGAGATGTGTTCCGATTGGAATATGACCTTCTTAAATATATAATGAGGAAAAAAATTTGTCGGCTATTCTCGCCGTACATTGCCTGTTTTATGGCAATCAGAATACCACATGATAACAAAATGAATGAAGAAAAAAAAAGTCCCAAAAAGGAACGGAGTCTGCCATGTTTCATTGTTTTGTCGGGTTACCTATATATCGAATTGAAATCTATCTTTACGTACTAATCTCAAAACAAATGTATATAGGCTCCTGCACGGTAAATTTTATATGGAATAATATTTTTCTCCAAAGAAGATCACTCGCTCTATTAACATTTTTTTTTCGAACACTCGACTGAACGCCATTCCTAGCATTTTAAAACATCATATAAATCCTCCTAACAAAGCCACGCTTATACATATAATAAAGGTGCTCAAATTACTTTAAGAAACAATGAAATACAATGTTGAATACATATTTATATACATCTATTTATAAACAAACACCTTAATACAGCAAGGGTTTCTTCTCTATTTATAGTTTTGCAGGTACCCGATAAACGCAGCCATAATCACGGACCTGATTGGGTAGATCATTGCTGGGATTACGCGACTAATCATATCAGGGATCCTTTCTGCCCACATGCGCTGCCGAGTAAGTTATGAACATTTCGATAAACGTGTTGATGAATGACAATGATGATTGATTGATGTTGGTGATGATGATGATGATGATGATGATGATGTTTATGCCCATGAGAATTATGATATCTACACACTTTTGAAATTAGCTTTAACAAGATTTATTTCAATTTGTTAAACATAAATACATGTATATATCTAATTAGCATATACATTGTGCAAGATTGGAAAACAGGTCAAGTGTGACTTATGTAAATTCCTTTTCTTATAGGAAAAATAGGCACACATTTGGTTGATTTCAATTTATATTCCCTATAAGGTTTCATGATACTTGAAATGTTGATTATTAATTTATTAGTGATGATGAAAATGATGATGATTGGTGATAAAAATAGTGATTATGATTGAAGATACAATTAGTGATGATGTTGATATGATGATGGCAATCGTAACGACAATGCTGATGATGATAAGTTTGACATTCAGATATTTTGCTGTCGCTCAGTGATTTAAATGTTTCTTTCATTGAAAGGTTCAAGACACTTTCGACTGCAACTATTAAAAGCAAACATGCGTAAACAGCTTTTGAGAAAAAAAAACTTACAATTTTGAGAAATGTTTAAATACTCACAATCAACAGGTCATGGCAAAATTGGTTATTATTATTATTTTTTTCATCATCATCACAATTAGAATTATTCAATCACATATTTACATACTTGATACTATTCTTACCGATTATACATATAAATAACATTCAAATGTATATAATTTAGATTGCACCGACGCACCGATTGTTGACCATGGAAGTCATAACAGCGTATATAGTAAAACTGTTAATTCGACCTTGACCTACACTTGTGACACCGGATATTACATCACTGGACCGGAAGTAGTTACCTGCGTTAAGAGTGGCCAAACAGTGCAATGGACAGCACCACCTGTTTGCAATAAAGGTAAGTTTTCTATATTATGTAAGATTTTCAGTCTTGTTTGAGCTGTAATAGTAATTGTTTGAGTTTTTTGCCAATGTATATTGTGATTAACTGATGTATCGGCCGGTAACTAAACATTGTCTTATCGTTTAATATGTTTCTATCATCATTTAACAAACCAATTTCTATATCGATAAATATTTATTGTAATATCAGCCAATTTCTATTGTTTGAATAGCCGATATTAATTGTTCTTTCGGCCAGTATCTATTATTGTGTCGGTCGATATTTAATGTTATATGAGCCAATTGTTCTATTGGCCAATGCATGTCTTTTGTTATATCAACCAATGTCTATTGTAATATCGGCCAATATCTATATTGTTAAAATGGATAATATCTATAACAAGAGATTTATTATTATTTTGGTTAACATTTATTGTTATATTGATAAAGATCTATTGTTATATCGGTCAATATCTATTGTTGTATCGTCCAAAAATTTTGTGCCATTCAATATTTATTGTGATATCGGCCAATATCTAATTTATAGGTCAATATCTATTATCATTTCGTTAAAAATTATTGTGTTATGTCGGTCATTATCTATTGTCGGCCAATATCTAATTTATAGGCCAATATCTATTATTATTTCTTTAAAAATTATTGTGTTATGTCGGTCATTATCTATTGTTTTATCTTCCAATGTCTACTGCTACATCGGCCTTTAACGATTGTTAAACATGAGCCAGTATTTATTGTTGTATCGGCAAGTATCTATTTTATAGCCCAATATCTATTGTGATATAAGCCAATATTTATTGTTGTATCGGCAAGTATCTATTTTATAGCCCAATATCTATTGTTATATAAGCCAATATTTATTGTTGTATCGGCAAGTATCTATTTTATAGGCCAATATCTATTGTTATATAAGCCAATATTTATTGTTGTATCGGCAAGTATCTATTTTATAGCCCAATATCTATTGTTATATAAGCCAATATTTATTGTTGTATCGGCAAGTATCTATTTTATAGGCCAATATCTATTGTTATATAAGCCATTATTTATTGTTGTATCGGCAAGTATCTATTTTATTGGCCAATATCTATTGTTATATAAGCCAATAATTATTGTTGTATTGGCAAGTATCTATTTTATAGCCCAATATCTATTGTTATATAAGCCAATATTTATTGTTGTATCGGCAAGTATCTATTTTATAGGACAATATCTATTGTTATATAAGCCAATATTTATTGTTGTATCGGCAAGTATCTATTTTATAGGCCAATATCTATTGTTATATAAGCCAATATTTATTGTTGTATCGGCAAGTATCTATTTTATAGCCCAATATCTATTGTTATATAAGCCAATATTTATTGTTGTATCGGCAAGTATCTATTTTATAGGCCAATATCTATTGTTATATAAGCCAATATTTATTGTTGTATCGGCAAGTATCTATTTTATAGGCCAATATCTATTGTTATATAAGCCAATATTTATTGTTGTATCGGCAAGTATCTATTTTATAGCCCAATATCTATTGTTATATAAGCCAATATTTATTGTTGTATCGGCAAGTATCTATTTTATAGCCCAATATCTATTGTTATATAAGCCAATATTTATTGTTGTATCGGCAAGTATCTATTTTATAGCCCAATATCTATTGTTATATAAGCCAATATTTATTGTTGTATCGGCAAGTATCTATTTTATAGGCCAATATCTATTGTTATATAAGCCAATATTTATTGTTGTATCGGCAAGTATCTATTTTATAGCCCAATATCTATTGTTATATAAGCCAATATTTAATGTTGTATCGACAAGTATCTATTTTATAGGCTAATATTTATTGTTATATAAGCCAATATTATTGTTGTATCGGCAAGTATCTATTTTTTAGCCCAATATCTATTGTTATATAAGCCAATATTTATTGTTGTATCGGCAAGTATCTATTTTATAGCCCAATATCTATTGTTATATAAGCCAATATTTATTGTTGTATCGGCAAGTATCTATTTTATAGGCCAATATCTATTGTTATATAAGCCAATATTTATTGTTGTATCGACAAGTATCTATTTTATAGGCCAATATTTATTGTTATATAAGCCAATATTTATTGTTGTATCGGCAAGTATCTATTTTATAGCCCAATATACTATTGTTATATAAGCCAATATATATTGTTGTATCGGCAAGTATCTATTTTATAGCCCAATATCTATTGTTATATAAGCCAATATTTATTGTTGTATCGGCAAGTATCTATTTTTAGCCCAATATCTATTGTTATAAGCCAATAAGCTTAGTAGGCCCAATATTTATTTAAGCCAATATATATTGTTGTATCGGCAAGTATCTATTTTATAGCCCAATATCTATTGTTATATAAGCCAATATTTATTGTTGTATCGGCAAGTATCTATTTTATAGGCCAATATCTATTGTTATATAAGCCAATATTTATTGTTGTATCAAGAAGACAAGTATCTATGTATTTATAGGCCAATAAGTATTGTTATATATTTAAGCATTAAAATCGCGTTTAATTTCTAAAATTATTGCACCTTAAAGTACACATTATAAAATTTAAGCCAAAAAAATGTTTAAAACGTAGGGTGATTTTATTCTATTAGTTTTGGTAACTGCTGTATATCTTCCAAATTATTTAAAGAAAAAGCTAAATTAGGCGGTCTTATTTTCTCATATATTGTCAAATGAGGTCAATAAGAATTGAGGAAGTTAAAGATATTTGGCAGTTACCAAAATTAATGTCACCTAGGTTATTTAATGGTTCACTTTAGTGATAAGAAAGACGACATGAAATAAAATCACCCTAGGTCATACATGTAGGCTAAATTTTATATATGTGTATTCATAGAAATGCCATAATTCAGAAATAATTGAGATAATGCTTATGCAAAAGATTTTAAACTTTCTTTTAAGAAATCTTTACTGTGTACATTGAAATAGCGTAGCTTGACGTACTTAAAATGAATTAATAGGTTTATACGTTATCAATCGAAACTTTTTGGCCCTTTCCGTCAGTCTTCGGATAAGGATTGATTATAGCCGAGGGGTTTTTCCGAGAGGAAAATTTGGCCCTTTAAGGGTGGGAAATTTGGTTTAAAAAAAGGGGGAAAGGGAAAAAGTAAATTAAGGATGTTTTTGGATCAAACAAAATTTTTGTTTTTGGGTCCCAATTGTATGAACTATTTGAATAAGTCCCTTTTTGCTATGTTTTGTTCCCTATAACTCTTCCAAACCTCCTATTTTCCCCCTTTCCCCGACCTTTGTTCAAACCCCGCTTTTAACCATGTTTTTAAACTCCTGAACCTTTTGTTTTTTAAATTTCAACCCTTTGTTTCACTCTCCCCAAATTTTGTTTCACTCTCCCCAAAACCCTTTTTTTTCACTCTTCCAAATGTCCAAAATCAAAAAAATTCCTGTTATTGATTCTAAGGTTTTTATGAACTATTTTTAATAAAGTCTATTTTTTGCTATTAGTTATGTCCCTATACTCTCTCCAACCTTCCGTTTTACACTCTTTCAACCTCCGTTTCAAACTCTCCCCAGTCTTCGTTTCACGTTCCCCAGCCTTTGTTTCACTCTCGCCTAATATTCATTTCACTCTCCTGAACCTTCGGTTTTAGCACTCTTCAACCTTCGTTTTTTTCACTCTTCCCAGCCTTCGTTTCACGAGCTCCCCAGCCTTTGTTTCACTCCCCCAATATTCATTTTCCACTCTCCTCAACCTTCGTTTACTCTCCCCAGCCCTCGTTTCACCATTTGGGGTTTTACACTCCTGCACCCTTCGTTTTACACTCCCAACCTTTGCTTCACTCTCCCAAACATTTGTTTTCACACTGCCTTCATACCTTCGTTTCACCCTCCCCTCAACATAAAATTTCGTTTCTAAAACTTCCCCTTTCTCCCCAAACCTTTCGTTTCACCTCTCCCCCAACCTTCGTTTCACTCTCTACTCTCTTTCCCAAACCCTTCCCTTTTTAAAATCTTTTTTCCCAACCTTAGTTTTAAACCCCCCCCCGACCTTTGTTTACCTCTCCAACCTTCGTTTTTATTCTCTCCCCAACCTTCGTTTCAAACCCTCCCACTTTTTCAAATCTCCCCCTCTAGTTTTAACTCTCCCCCCATTCGGGTTTCCCCACTCCCCCCAAAGTTCTTTTTTCTATCTTTTTTAAAAGGTTGTGACGAAAGCCCCTGTAGTTGGGTCAGGTAAATCCCTAAAAAAAGAAATACAAAAAGGGGACGCTTGGGGGGCAATCTCCCTTTTACGTTTTCGATGGGCGGGTTATTATTTTGAAAGGAAAGGGGAAATAGCAAAAATTGGGGGAAACATCTGGCAGTTTAGGGTCCCAAAAAAAGGTCGGGGGAGACACCTCAATGCAAAAGGTTAGGGGGTTTGTTACAAATTTCATAAACCCAAAATCGGACCCCCTTGCCCTCCCCCCAAAAAAAAGGAAAAAAAATCTATATAGGTTGATTTCTCTATTTAAAAGTTTATAAATGGTTTTTTCCCCGATTTAAAAAATGTTTTGGGCTTAAAACATTTTAAAGATCTCACCTATTGAAGGCCTTTAAAAATTTTCCCTATGTTTTTTTGGGCCCTTTAATAGTTCTCTGTTTTTTCCCCGTAGTTAGATTTTTGCGGTGCATAGGGAAAACCCCATAAAGTAAGGGGGCAAAATAAAAAATTTTTTAACTAAATCACACGATGTTATGACAAACAAAGGGGGGCTGGGAAAATCGTCTGGGTAATTTTTGGGGTTTTACGTGTACAGGCTTTTCCCGGAAGAAATATCAATAAAAAATTTTGTCGCGATAAAACCCGGTTTTAAACGTTACAAAGTTTATGTCAGGGGGCGTGTGGTTTTTTTAAAGCAGAGATAATGTCAATTTCCCAAAAAAAGTTAAACCCCTGGGAAAATATATACGGGGACGGTTATTACCCGGGAAAGGATGGCAATTTGGGCCCTTACATTTTTTCGGGAAGGGGCCAAGATTAAAAACAAATATCATACGGCCCCAAAAAAAAGATATTTTTCTTTTAAAAAAACAAAACCCCGGGTTAAGATCAAAAACATATGTTTCCCTTTTGTTCTCAAAATTTGGAATAATGCATATTAAAATTTAAAATTTTTATCTTGTAAAAACTTTCTGTACAAACCCCTGACCCGCAACACCCCTTTTTAGGGGACACAAACCCTTAATTTTGGTTGTTAAATTGGGAAAAATGGGTTTTGAGACTTGTTAAAGTTTTATTGTGAAAAGGGTAATTTAAAGGGGGGAAAAAAACTGTAAATTATAGGGAAAGGAAAATTTTCTCTTAATAGCGGGGTTTTTTTGTACAGGTTAAAAAGTATTGCAAAATTTTTTATTTTCGAAATTTTACCTCCAAGGGTCAAAAAATCATGATCAATTCAAACAAGTGGGTGGGAAATTTCAAAAACCCTGTGCAGTATATTAACCTGGATAAAACCCGTTTTTAAATGTAAATTTAAAAAAAAAACGTCAAGTGATTATTTTTTCTTTTTTTAATTGTAGCCACGTTTTTCCCTGGGTGTGCCGGAAAAACTGGGACGGTGGTCACGAGACCGGGTTTAAATTAGCTGAATAAAGGGGCTTTCCGTTAAGTTTTTTTGCAAAGCTTAAACCTTTTTGAGATACTCCCATTGGGTTTACACCAATTATATTTCCAAATTTAAAAGGGAAAAGCCAAAAATACCAAACTTGGGCCCAACACCCTTTTCCCACAATGCATCGGTAAAACCGTCAAACCCGGGGAAAAGGTGCGCCCCTAATATTTTTTTCTTTTGGGTTTTATGTATCTGACAAATCAAATTTTGACGGTTTTTTTTTTTTTTCTACAAGTAAAAAAATATTGGGAAAAAATATACTCTAATTTCAAAATGATTTTTTTATAGCATTGGAAATTTATTGAAATTTAAATTTAAATTTTGGTTTTATTATTTTAAATTTATTTATCTCTTAAATTCCCTAAAACGGGAAAATTTTTCTAAAAAATGGCGGGGACGAAAAGTTCCCTAAAGGGAATGAAAAGATGCGATTGGCCCCCATTTTATGGGGAGGAAGGGAATAAGTTCACATAATTAGTGTATCTTAAAAACAGTAAAAATATAAAACAAATTTTTAAATGTTTTTGATTTCTTTGATAGGAAATTGGGCCAACTGGCCCCGTTTTT